TGACAAACTCAAAGCTGCATACAGGCAAATTCTCTGGGTCCGGGGTGAAGTCGTAAGTCACTTCACAGGGATTTAGGTAGATGCTGCTGAGCTCTTTTACCTCAGGATGGGTAAATGATGGAAAATCACAATGCACACATTTGTATTTATTAAGTCAGCATTCTTCATTAAATGTGGCTGGATTTTTTAAAAATTTCACTTGACATATTGACTGAGAATTATTTTTAATAGGATTTATTTAAATGATTGGGGGTCTTTCTGGTAATTCAAATTTCTGAGTTTAGTCTCTTATCAAATCCAACAGTTTGGTGTGGGAAGGTGAAAATCTTAGCTCTTTTGGTTGATGATCATTCCATTCATATGTGACTTAAAAGTTAAATCCCTCACTTAAAATGACTTCTGAAAGTTGTCTAGAAGTTATAGAGCTCTGAATGCCATTTTGATGAAACAAATTCTACAGATTCCCCTTATGCTCCAAAATACAGATATCGGAAAAATTCAAGTATCTTAACCTAAATAACCAATAATTTCTTTCAAATTAAAATTAATGTCAGCTTTAGATGCTGCATTAGAAATCTCCAGTTTACAGATGTAACAAATCAAGTCCCTTCAAATTTGACATCCACTGTATGAAAAATACTTTTTAAAAATAGAAATGTATACTTAACTCAAATGTTTTATATTATAATATTCTATTGGAATAATTCCCTCCAGGTACACAGAAGTGTGTAGTAGCTCATAAACAGTGACAGCAGCTAAGCCAAATAATAAATAGTGTCCTTTGTAGTCTTCAAAAACTTGTATAATTTTCTCAGGTAAATTGTAAAACAAAAATTATTTGGTTTTTGAGGTTTTATTTAATTTTTAAGTAAAAAGCTGCATTAAAAACAAGACATTGATTTGTATACTTCAAAACATAGGCCAATTACAGCTTACTGCAATTTTTCAAATATTTGGGGATTGGTTTATGCATAGAAGGTTTGTCAAAGTTTAGTTTAAATTACATCTATTTAATTTATTAAAAAAATAATTTTGACAGAATCATTGTACTTATATCATTAAGAACAGAAATACTTTTGCTGAGGCTTGAAACTAAATCAAATACTGACAAAACCCCCTCTAAACTGTTAAAACCATTCAACACATAGTATAGAAGTGCATTGTTATATCTATAATTATTTGGCTTCTCAATTTCTTTTTATTTTAGCAATCTCATTTGTACTCCATCTTTTTTGAATAAAAGGTCTAGTTACAGTGTTTCAATATAAAGAATTGCTATTTGATATTTTTTTCCTACAGTCTGGGGGAAATTCAATCCCCTATTTATCAAATAATAGCCTTCACAGCATCATTTTTTATGTGTGGGGTTAACATCCAGACACTTTTAAAGTAAAAATTTCAATTTGTGAAAAACTATATATTCTGCAAGATGCTTAGGTGGTGATCTCATCCTGTTTCAAAGCCAGGGTTCTTTTGCATCTCTACTTACTTGCCCCATCAAGTAATAAATAATGTCAGAGAGTTCCAACAGCATATGAGAATCTGCTTTTTCAGCTAACACAAAGAGAAACAAAGTCCTTTTCATTACGGAAGATAACATATCCCCTCACTATTTACCCATTTTTGTTCCAATATATCTGTATGTAATCCACTTATTCTTCAACCATCTAATGGCCTCACAAATTTAAAATGCACTGCTGTGTTTCGGGCTATTTATCTATCCAGCGGGTCTAAAACGGAATACAGGTTCATGAGCTTACTGATATCAAATGTGTAAACACTGTATCTAAATTTCAGACCTCATACCAGAACTCTTCTCATTTTACTCTGCATTGAAATATTTCTGGAATATTGCCATGGCTGATGGCAGCTTTTCAGTGACTCATTAATAAATATATACATGAAAAAAGAAGGAAAGAGACATTATTAACCAACCAGACAAGGTAGACCTTAAATAAAACAACACAAGAGTGTGCAGCCTCTTCACAGGTTTTCTTGATATAACTTCTTCAAAGGATCACAGACATCTCATAAACCAACAGAAGCCTGGGTGTGAAGACCCTCTGCCTTGGCTGTCAAGGTTTCTTTTTATGACAAGTCATAAACATGTTCCCCAGAGTCTAAAACAACGCTCCATTTTCTTGACACAATAGAGAGAATTCTGTTCCCTTAGGAATATTACAGGAACTTGCAATGTTTAACAACATGACCAAGTTAACAATATGAAAAAGAATCTATTTGCTTGATTTTTCTGTTTGTGAATGTGTGAATTTTAATACTGAAAACAAGCATTTTATCTGAAAAGACCTACAGAATGCCTCTGCCTACACTTAAAGTATTATTGAAATAAAAGAAATCATGGGTACCCATTTCAGAGACTTGCTGGAAAACGCTATTTGATATTTGCTTCTTGTATTAGCATAGTGCTGGTTTGTAAATAGCATGGATTAAAGTTACTGTATCAAACTTACACAACAGACTTAATACTGTATGATAATATTGAGAGCAAACCCTCAAATGTGCTTCTCCAAATCGTATCTGTTTTACCCTTATAATACAGGTGCATACAGTGACTTTTAGAAGACGGCACAGATAAAATCTATATGCCAGTATCACTGCTTTATTCCATTTTCAAAGAGGCACTTCTTCATATGTCTTAGCATATATTTTTATAATAATCTCTTCTTTTTTAAACAGTATTCAAAACTCTGTGCAAATATCACTGACAACACGCTAAGGGGAATGATTTATTTTTAAACCAATTTTGGAAGCAGCTGCCCCAAAACAGCTTAAAGAAAGAAATGAGAAGTAAAAGATGCTGCAGGCAGGGTGAGAGATGTAAGCAGGGGTCGGAGAGGCTACCAGTGGTAGATCACTTGCGCAGCATGCTTGAGGCCTTGGTTTGGAGCACCAGCACCGAGAAACACAAGAAGTAGTAAATGGACTAATGAACGATTCCAAGTCAATGTGCTAACTCTTTCCACAAAGCTCAAGTAACAAGACAACTGAAAAAGTAAAGTGTAGCTCTCAAAATAAAGAGGCAAAGTCATTAGACATGTCCTGGGCACATGTGTATGAGTGGAACTGCATTATTGCAGCTGAAAGGAAAAAATATAGATGGCATGCTCATTTACTAGGTTATATAAGAACAGAGGGAAAATGCCTGAACAGTGCTAGCTAGCTAGCTGGTGCTGAGGGGCAATTATAAAGTTGAATGAATGTCCCTGGACTAAGCAGCTTCAAAAACATTGCTGGAAGGTCGAGTAGACTCACAGACCGAGCTAGAGAAAGCAACTTCAAAAGTCACAATTGTAATTTTTTCATTCATTTTAAAATATTTTATACAATCTAGCCAACTCTCAACTGCTCATTTGAAGAGCAGACACGTGGCCATGCCAATGTAAAATCTGCGAACATGGGTTGGGGAGACACCGTGAATGATAGCAGATATTTTTACATATGACACTAAGTGCATGATACAGGGAAGCAAGTGTCTATGCTGGCTGACAATAGAACCTGGTAGGATTTTGAGAACTGGCAATAGATGAGATGATGCACATCAAGAGAAACTCACGGGAATGAACAGCTGATTGCCTTCCCTACTTACATTATTTCTATTTTATTCCAAATGATCATACTGCTTATCACAAAGTTATGTAGAATAACAAGCCCAGGGATATGGTATGCATGCCATTTAGCCAAAAACATTAGGTATATCAGTGATTAGGTCTTACAAGAACTGCTTCAACTTCTAATCCTCAGTTGGTTCCAAGCTCTGTAACAGAGATGGGGAGAACAGTGCCTTAAGTTAATTATTCTCTGTCCTTGATTGGAAGTTGCCCCTCTTAAAGTATCTTTTACTCTTGTCAATTTATGCACTTGAACAAGCCTATTTCATGGAAACACTGATTGGAATACTGATTCGGTCTGAAGATTTTTGGCTGTAGATTTGTAACCAGAATTTTTTGTTTAAAAAGTATGCAAAGGCTCTTACATGCTTTTACTTTTTTTGTTTCCAAGAATTCTCAGAGATTTTTTTCCCAAAGAATATGTTCACGCTAAATTCTCAATCTCAAAATTCACATGTTGAAAAAGTGATTAAAATCTTGCTTTTTTATATTGGGTTTAAAATTTAAAAGAGGATTTTAAACTTGCTGTAATTGTAGGATTTTATGGAATAAAACTTTAAACAGGGTACAGATTTTATGTCTAAACAGCTCTTCTATTTTAGATACCCTCAGATGCTTTCAAAATGTCTCCAGAAGGAATGTATTCTTAAAATTTTTTTCTGAAAACAAAATGTGAAATACAGGAACACTAGGATTTAATTTGAGAAAAACTATTTTATTGTCACCTGATATCTACACTGTATTGAGACCTCTTGCTTCTTTTAAGGAAAAATATATTTCACTAAAGTGGCACATATTCAAGATAGCATTAGAAAGTGTATTGGAATTCCCTTAAATAGGTGCACTAAATTGTTTCATTGTCTCCTATTTTTGTTAACTTCAGTGGTTTTCCAGAGTTAGCATCCCATGTAATTATCTATTACATCTCTAAGTTCCTTAATATGTATGATTTCTTTTATAAACCTGTCACATCAGGGATTTATCAGAGCTCAGAAAAATATATATGTTGTGTGTGAATATATTTATTTTCAACAGGTGCACAATAATTAGAAATTAGCTCCTTATTTGTAAGTGGCAGATTTTATGTTCGAAATTAGCTGTCAGAACACTACTCACATATGAGTTCTCATTTTCTCGGTCAAACAGTTTTGGAGGGAAATATTCTTACAGTACGTCAGACAGAAAACATGAGGGTTGTGAAGACAGCGGTGGGTGTAGAAAGAACACTTCTTTTGGAATTACGAATCTTAGACGCGAACAGACCTGTCCACCTGTCCAAGTGTTACCTTACCATTTCCAGAATGATTTTGTTCCCTGTGTCCACGAAGTTGCAGAGGAAAACAATGAAACAATTCACTATGATATCAGAAATGTGGCTTCATAGGAAACAGGGCTACATTTAATCAGTACTGGTAGTTGATGCATATTTTCTGCTTTTTCTTAGAGTTCATATCACTGGCTCAAACTTTTATGTCAGTCTCTCCCAAAGTCAATTACTACCAAAATTTACAAACTTGACATGAAATTACATTGTATTTACAAAGAACTTGGCACTTACAGAATAAATTATTGACTTTTTAAAAATCCAGCCCAGGGCACCCATGGTTCGGGCAAATGGGAAAGCCCAGTGCCGTATTATATATTATGCTACATTAATATGAATAAATAAGTTTCTGCCTTATTACGGAAGGTGAGCTCCTCCACAGTGCTGGCCCCGTGGCTCCACACTAGTGCCTGCCTCTTGGCTCCGCGGCATGGGTGGGCACAAAGCTCAGTCCAGAGAGAGCAAAGGCTGCATGTTCTCCTCCTCACTTTTATCCATGTGCATCAGGACCGTGGGCTCCAGCACAGACTGGGACCTGCGGGGAGAAAGGCCTGTCAGTCGGTTACACCCAGCCACTGCCCAGACCGTCCTCAGCGCTGCCCTCTCCCTTCACTGCCTCCCTGTTGATGCGGTCATCTTCACGGAGGAATTTATGAGCTGTGCATGTCGCAGTTCAGAGAAACACTGAGGGTGATGTTCTGCATCAGAGTGAGGAAGCAACCCCTCTGGCCACTCAGCCCAGAGCAAAGGATTCTAGACAGATAGCAATAAATGTACATCCTCCTGGCCACAATTAGGTGGCCCTCCCTTTCAGAGATGCAGAATTTCTGTGTGGAATGGATGCTTTCCACTACAATACCTCCAAACAGAATTTGAAAAATGCTACGGTGAAATGATTGCTATATGTTGAATAGAAATGATAGGCACTGTAAGTTGTTATCATGTTATAGGTTAAACAGAAATGATGATGGTCTTTTTAAAAAATCTATAAAACATCTTCAGCACGAATATGTCTTTTCCCGTAACCATTTTAATGATTACATCAACAAAACAATGGTTTGTTTCTTTGTTTTCTAAGACAGACTTTGGCTATGTCGTTCAAGCTAGCTTTGAACTATCTACCCTAGGCTGGCCTCGAACACTTGGCAATCTTCCTGGCTCAGCCTCCTGAATGCTGCGATTATAGGCATCATGCTTGGCTTAAAAAAAAAATCAAAATTTGGGTAAGATTTTTGTTAAATTTCCCACTAGAACAGCCAAATAAAATCAGCCTTTCTCGTCAAAGCATCAAGAAAAAAGTTAAGCTTAAGTTTTTTAAGAAGTTAAAACTCGTGTTTAGGTAGAAACACTGTATAATCTGGAAAGCACATGATCTGAAAATCCCTGTAGGTGTTCTGAGAGCGGGTGGCAATTCCAGCCCATTCATGTGAGGGTGAGCAGGGGCGAGGCAGGGAAACGTGGCATCTCAGGAGCAGGAAGGCGCCTCTCAACAGCGGGGAAGGTGCTGAGGAAGCAGCTGGCGCTGTCAAGTCCTTCTCAGGAGTGAATTCTTCCCCTGCCTCACATCCCACCCGATGGCTTTGGCCGGGTGAGACGCCTCTTCACGGACCCTACTGACTTTCGGGGGACAGGTTGCAAGCTGAAACACTACAGTGCATGCTTGGGGAAAGGGCCGCGATGGGCCCCACCCTGAAAACCAAACCTCAGGGGACTGACTGACAAATGACTCCTTCAGCTAAATAACCTTCAACTCGTTTTCAAAGAATGAATACAGTAAAATAAAGTTGAGAGCATTAAAAAAAGGAAAGGCTGTGTTTTCTAGGTCATTTTCACCACTTTATCTGAGTAGTACGTAGGCATTCGGCGCGCATCTCAGAAGGGGACTGACTAGTGCTGTGTCCACAAGCATTCGAGGAGAGAGGGAAACGAGGAGGAGACAGGACGAGGAGGAGAAGGACCAGGGGAGGCGATGCAGAGTAAGATGAGTAAGATGTCAGTGCCTCAACTTCTACACAGTGAGTCCTTCGCACGCTGAGAGAGCCCCAGGACTGTATGGAGCATTCCATAGGTCAAGTAATGCACATAATGGAGAAAGAAATTTTTAACCGGAAATGGATGAACAAATTCTCACAATTAAATCTACCATTTAAACATTGAGGTACATCATGATCTTACTGAGTAAATGAACATTAAGGCTCTTTACACAGCACAAGGCACACGACTGAGGTTTGTGCATCTGCCTTCTGCTGAAACAGGCACACGCATGCGTGCGCACGCATTCTTTTAAGTTTGTATGCATCATGACTTTTAAAAATATATTAGAAAGTATACAGCAATTTTAACAAAATACTTTAAATTACCTTGTGCTACTACTCAAGTTGGGTTTAGGTTCCAGTCTGTTTTTTTTAAGGCACCACAGGTAACAGGATTGTTACCTGATGAATACTGCTCTCATGTGTACATTAATTCTTTAGTAAAAGAAAAAAGGCACAAAGAAATATCTCACGATTGAGATGTTTTTGATATTTAACTGCCCCAAATGTACTGTTATTTATTGCCGGCTTCTTACTTTCCTGAAGGAACAGGGTACTGTGTTCAGGCTCCTAACTCTTAGGGAACTGCAGGAGAGGGAGCTGTCCACCATTAACTCACAAAACACACCGGCTGGGCTTTCCCCACAGCCCCAGCTCTCTACAGTGAAAAACTTTTACTTCTTTTTTGAAAACTATCAAGCTAAGTTTAGCTATCCAGTACTCACATACCCATTTATGATACAGCTGCAACATTACCAATGTGCTCATGGGGCTAGGGTTTGGAAAGCTGTACTCCAATTCTGGTTGCTAGCATAACAATTACTGGTCCTGTGGTCATGGGAAAGCTATTTAAACTTCCTAAGACTTTGTTTTCTTGTTTGCAAAATGGAGAAAAACCCCTCACGTCATAGAAAAACAGGGAGGATCAGAGGCAATGATGCATGCCTAAACCTCAGCACAAATCCTGGCAGATGGTGCAGGGCAGTGGTTGAGAAAATGGCGTATAGAACATAAGAAAATGACTCACAGAACATGATTACCCGTGAAAATACATTGCTACTTTGTGGTTTTGCAAGCACTGGAAGTCACTTACCTCCTTGTGTCTTGTACTCCTCATCAATAAAAAGAAGAGAGTACTTCAAGAAGCAAATGAATCAGTGCACACAGAGGACTCCAATAGGGTTTATCATGGAGTAACGATAAGTGTTCAGTATCTTTAATATCACACAGTGGAGTCAGTTCGTGTCACTGTAGCAGTACTGGCGCTGGCTCCCTGCAGCTGTCATGTGCCAGGTACTCCCCTATGAACTGAAGACGGGAGGCAGAAGCCCCTCCGCAGCGCTGAGCATCCTCAATCTGCACTGTGTCTTTGTGTGTGACCGTCCACAGCCTTACACAGGAGGAGAAACCCGTCTTCCATGTAGCTGAGTATGCCCAAAGGAAGAGTTACAAATAGCCTTTGGTGAGGGAATGATTGATCTGACTCCCTCTCAATGTAAGAGTAATCAGAAGTTGAAAAAGGAAGAAGCCGGGAGGAATCAGAGCAGAACACAGGGGCCATCTGCTCTGGTCCTTGAAGGGGAACATGATTTCTGAACTCAGAAAAGGAGAGAATCAGTTGAAACAATGTTTACAAATTGTATTTACACAGATTCTTCAGTATTTTGTCAGTGGAATCATAGAAGCTTCATATGATACATAGCCTACATCAAAGCAAGAAAGGATGGTGAAAATTCAAATCAGCACACATCAGAAACATGACATAGGGCTGAGGAAGAGGATACTCCCTCAGCCCTGTCTATGGGGGTGGGGGACAAAATGACCTACTTATTTGGAGAAGAAAATAAAGACCTTAAATGATTCAAAAAGGTGTAGAGACTGAGCCAAATCTACCAAGATGGTGCTGACCCATTAAAGTAAGGTTCCTGGAGAGAAAAGCTAAATGCAGAGGCGAAGGATGCGGAGGGTGTGGACTGACAGAGCAACTTCCCAGGATTAGTCCCCTGGGTAGGAGCTGGCAGTGGCCCCTGGCTTCCAGGATGACAGCAGCAGTGACAGCAATGGCAGCCCAGCGGTGACACAAGGGTCAGATTGCACCTGCAGCCACTGACAGTGGAACAGGTCTTCTTTCATTCGGCTGGTACCAACTGAGATACCATGTGGGCCCAATGCTCCCAGGTACTCGGACCTCCAGGGAGCAGGACAGACAAAGCCACCATGGTCTCCATGAAGTTGACCTTAAGGAGCGGTGAAATCAAATGAAATAGAAGGGGTCATTTCACAGAACTGATTAGTGCTGCAAGGGAAATGAAGCAAAGGCGTCCAAACGAGAGGGAGGAACTAGAACAATGAGCCAGGTGAGATGCCTAAGCCCAGGTGGTCAAGAAAGACCAACGGACTCTGGAGAGGTGATCTTTGGCTGGGACTGGGCCTCCAAGGGTGCAGGGAAAGAGCATTCTAGGAAGCAGCAGGAACAAGGTGGAGAGGCTGAGGCACACAGAGGAAGCCACTGTGGTGAAAGGCTTCTGGGAAGGAGGGAGAAGGTGAGCAGGACCTGGAGGAGAAAGCAGGCACGCTCAGCTCAGGCAGTGCCTCGGAAACTCCAGGAAGGGGCTGACGTTGTTCACCGGGTAACCGTCGGGCACTTAAAAAACTAAGTCAGACACAGGAAATGTGATTCCACGTGGCTGCAGAGAGCACTGTGCTCAAGTGTGGACGCCACGGGAGGGACCGTCACAGGAGGAGCGGCCGCAGGAGAAAGATGCGTTAGCCAGCTGGGGAGACAACTAGGGAGGTCACGCAGCCCTGTGTGCCTGCCCTTCCCCAGCTCACTGCCGGGGCAGAAGCTCGTACCATGTTGGGTGGAAAGGCTGGCGCAACCTTCTACCGCCCACAGTTACGTGAACAGGCGTGTAACTGGTGGCTGGAGACCCACTCAGTAGACACAGGCTCTGATCTCGAGGATGTGAGGTCTCTGATGGCACTGTTGTGAGCACGAGTGAGTTACTGTACCAAACGCCACCTACCCTGGGTTCCACTCACAAAAGCACATAGTGAATGAAGGACTATAATAATTATTATTAAAGTTAGGTTTATTAGAACGTTATTCAGAGACCATTGCTTTTAAGGATTTTTGTTTTCAAACTCTGAGAATCTGATGGCACATATGCCTTCTCTCCAGGAAAATGCTCTGTGTGTACACAGACACTCTGACACAAACACACAGAATTGACACACAACTCAGCACTTAAGAGAATCCTTTGACAGCCCATCAAAACCCCTTTTAGGTTAGGATACCGTAGAAGATTTCCACTTAGGAAGCTCTGCTCTAAGAGAGACGAAGCTTAGAAATGGTTTAAATATAAGCTTGTCAACTGGTGAAGAAATCATAGGTTGTAGAGAGGAAGTTATCACACACACAGCACAACATGGCACAATAACAACGGCAGCAGCACTGTGACAGACATCAGCTTTGAGGATCACGTATGCTACCTCATGGGCCAGAGCTACGACCAAAGGACCATCAGGCTTTTATCAGAGAAGGGGGCTGGGCAGGATTTGGCATAAGTGAAGGGTCCCACTGTCCTTGAGTGAGGTGGGGGGACTCACCAGGGGTCTGGCTCCCATGGTTCTAAAAATGAGCCAAAAGAGTAATATTTGTGAGCATTACTCAGCTGGACCCTGAGACACTGTGGCCAGGAAACCCTGAGTATTAGCATCTTCTGTGTCCCCGACCTGTCCTCACAGCAGGGATGTGTTTGTGTCTGCAGCTCCTCCACTGGATGAAGGCAAACAGGCACACGGGTGTCATGGATGAAGCGGGGAGTCCGACTCTGACTCAACAATGAACTTTACAAAGATTAAACTGGTATAAAGAATACAGTCTTTGCACCTGCAATGGTTAGACCTTTAGACAAGACTTGGCAGGGACACTGAAAATACAACACAATACATGCTCTGGGTGTAGTCTGATTTGGTGTGTGTGTCTGTGTGCACATGTGTGTGTGTGCGGCACACCTGTGTAGTCCCTTTCTTCACAAGAAATATTACTGAGAATTCTGATAAATTTCTCAGATGGAAGGAAGTTGTTACCAATAATCATGGCAGTAAGAACACCCACCCCACCGACTGCCCGAGGCGTGCCATCAGAAGTCTCGCTGCTTCAGAGGAAACTCAGGATCTGCTGGCTTCTGAGGGCCCTCCTAAACTGAGCATGAATTTGGAACAAAATGCAGTTGAGGCTACTTTGAATGACTTTATCTTTGTAAAAAGATTGACCGGTAATAATCACATGTAGTTTATGGAGCTCAATGTAATGGGCAAAATACTTCATGACCACTGTGAATGGAATCTAAAGAACATGAACTCAGACAGAGAGAGGGAAGGTGGGTATGAAGTTCCAGTCAGATGGGCAGAGAAGTCCTGGGGGCCTGCTGTTCAGCAAGGCGACCACAGTGAAGACAGAGAGACGTTTTCCACTGGAGAAATGCTAGGGCAGTCAATGGCAATGTTCTCACTCCGAAAAAGTGACTTAGCTTTTACTTAAACTCTTAGACATCCAATCACGGATGCATGAAAGCCTTCAAACTCCAACCAGAGAAAAGCAAACACAGGACAAACGTAAAACTTGGCTGCACTCACAGCGCCTCCTGCAGCCCTCACTGTCCCCCTCCCATGTACCTCACCTCTTCATGGACTTGGGGGACAGCTCCTTCTCCGCCTCCTTCACCGGCGTGCTGTAGGAGTCCACGTTGGACTCACTGTCGTCATCATACTCGTGGTCCAGCAGTGTCCGTGCCCACGTTCCCATGTCATAGGGGGGCAGCATCCCCCCAAACTCCGAGGGCAGGATCTCGGGGTGAATGAGCTGGTGTAGACTGTTCAGGTTGTTCCCATGTAGGAATATCTACCAGTGCAAGAGCAGGGGGAGAAACACAGGAAACTAAATACCATCCAAGTGAGGCGAGGAGATAACACAAACGTAAGAGGTTTCTGTGTCCTTTAAAATACTTGGGTCTCCCATCTACTCCAAGAAGCAGGCAGGACTGGAAATATTACCCTCACAGTTCATATAAAAATCCTGAAGGTCAAAAATGTTAAGGAGCAAGGTCAGAAAGTTACTGCGTTAAAGAGCTGGAACCACAGATTTGGTTTTCTACTTCTTGGTCACAGGCGTGAGCAGAATCCAGCCTGCACGTGGTTCTGCACACCACTGCAGTATCAGCTGTGCGTGATGAATGCCACTAATGCGGCCCCTTACCATGGGGATTCAGCAACTCAGAGCCTGCCCAAGTCATCAAGCCCAAAACTCTCACCAGTGCGGCTCCCTCTTCATGATCAATAAAAATAAGAATGCTGTAACCTCTAAGTTACGACTTTACAATGCAAAGCGGGTGGTGTGAATAAATGCAGTAGATGAGCATCCTCATAATGAAAGGCTGAGTGAGGCTCCCGTGAGGTTGCTAGCTTCTGCTCCCCTAGATATTTCCACACTTATGTCCAAATGGAAAACAGAATAAAAAACTGAAAACGTAACACTGTATGTGAATGTTGATTATTGCTGTGGTTGTCTGACAGATCTTTTGTATTAAACTACACAGTTATTCAGGCCAAATATTCAAAATCTGTTTCTCTATCAATTGCTCTCTCTTTTCTCTTTCTTCATTTCAATCCCAAAACTGCAGATCGGCCTTCTCCGATACAGCATGGTTGTCATCTCATGTAAATTATAAAATATTTACTGAAAACTACAGAGTATAAGTAACTTGATAACTTTAAAATGAGCAGCCGGCACATTTAGGTTTGCTTTCCTTACCGTCAGAGTCCATGGCATTAAATACATAGGAAGGCGAAGAAAGATGACTCAGCAACATCAAATGAAATTAGCGGAATGGAGTCGCCAGCTAACAAGCACTTTTAACAGTTCCTGGCAGAGTCAAGGCGGGTAACTGCCAGTTCCTGTCCAAGGGTCAGAGCAAACCCAAAGTGTCACGCACAGCGTGGTGCCCAGGGAGGCGCGAGATGCCACTGCCCCACGGGGCGCCAAGGTGACTGAGCCTCCCGCCACCCCACTCTGCCGGAGAGCACACAGCCAGGGTTTCCCTCGAGGAAAACACACACGTGCACGCACACACGCACACACACTCCTAGGTTCTTCTCATCACTAAAAAGAATTTTCCTGGGAAAGCTAAGCTCTGACACTTGAAAGCCTTACTTTATTAGGCACTTGAGCTGTTTCGCCACATTATTCCTCCCACTTAAGGAACCTCCTTCGAGGCCTGCAGAGTGGGAAGTGGGGGTCGGGAGCTGCTCCTGTCTCCTCCTCCCGGGCCTCACAGGCAGCTTGGCCTTGCTTCCAGGCTCACGGGGACACAGGCCTTCCGTGACACCCACCGCCACAGCCCCCATGTCTGTGCAGGCTGCCTGGGCGCCCAGCAGGGCCCCAAGTCCCCCAGCCACTGCTCCGCACACCGGCCTGGCCTCGCTCACACAACAGCCGGCCCTCTCCGCACCTTTCCCACCCCAGAAAGAAACTGCTGACTCCATCACTCCCAGAGACAGAAACCGGCTGCTGGTTCCTCTCCATCTGCCGGTGCTGCCTGACTCTCTCCTTCCCTGGCAGGACTCGCCGTCTATGTTTACTGCCCGAATACTCTGCTCCCATTTTACCCAAATCTGATCCATTCAGCCACTGCCTCCCACCACTGCAAGAAAACAGCTTCTGGCATGCTTCTTCTCATCACTAAACTCAGTGTGGGATGCTCACTCTGCATTTGCCTTGAGCTCTCTATAGCAAGGAACATAGTGGATGACTTTCTTCATGGAAATATTTCTTCTACTATCATTCAAATTTCTCCTGTCTTGCTAGATTCTCTTTCAGTCTCTTTTGCTCACCACGGTAGCATCTTCAGATTAGAGCTCCAATGCTCACTTTCTGTTCTATTCTGTCCTTGGTGGTTTCATTCAGTTCATTTTATGCAGTCAGTGTCTTTCTAATAGTGTCCACAACGAAAACATACATGCTAAACCCAGTCTCCCCTGACGTCCATATTTGAGTTTCCACTCTCCGTTGTCATCTGCACTGAGGTGTTCACTGGGCGCCTCAGACCTAACAGGTCCAAAACAGAGCTTGCAATCCTCCTCCCAGATCTGCTCCTCCCTCTTCCCAACAGCAGTTAGCGGGGCCAATGCCCTTTCAGTTTCTCACACCAAGGCGTCTGATGCATCTATTGGTCCTCACACCATCCAAGCTCTCGGCAAATCCTTTTGGTACAATCTTCAAACTGTGTCCTAAGCACGGTCACTGACCAAGCCCACTGCCAGAGCCCCGCAGACTGGGTTACCGTGGCAGCCCCTGGCTCGCCTCCCTACTTCCTGTCTCCCTCCCAAGCCCAACAGGGGCCAGATGCCCGTCGCTTCCTGTCAGATCATCCCTGCCTGCTCAGCCCTCAGTGCCTTCTCTCTCTCCTTGTAAACCCAGATGGCCAACCTGGTAAGAACTACTTTGAACACATCTCCTGCTACTCGGTTTCTGCTAAGTCACGCGTGCTACACGTGTGCCGAGATGTTTGCAGTGGGTCTTCTCCCACCTGGAGATCTGACGTCCCGTGGCTCACGGTTCCATATTCTACAAGTTGTTGTTTGAGTTCTCCCTGTCAGGGGTGCCTTCCATAGTGAACCTACTGAACTCTGTAACCTTGCCCTCTGGGCAAAGTCCACCTCCTATTCCACTGTGGAATTCACTTAGTTACAGTATGCATATGCTGCTTTGAAGCTTCATAAAAAGTAACAGCACTGTTTCTCTAAATCCAATATTCATATATATACAGAGTCCACCAAAAACTGTATCCACACTTCAGCAGCTTGCTGTACTAATAAACATCTGGAAGCTCATGGCCACCACTTCAAGCAGCTCTTGGCATTGTAGAGGCCAGAGGTAACTTTTGTTAATCTCATGATGGCTCAAGAAATGTAGTATTAAAATATTCATATGAGTTTTTCTTTTCCTGATGTATACATTTCTGGCAGTGTATACTGTGGTGTTTACATTTTTTACTATATATATGTATATATATATTATATATATATAGTGGTTACTATTTTTAAACTTGTACATTTGAATTGCTCCTCTGAGCTGGGCATTAATTGCCCTGCTGATAAATCTTGCCCTTAGATTTTTCTCTGCTTTGGTTGATTCTTTATAGTAACATTACTTATTGAAGTTTTACTAGTTTTTTCCCTCTTATTTCACTTCCTGCAGGAAATCCTGCCCTTGGGGCTCTGCTGTCTCATAGTACCTCACAGTTCTAGATTAGCCTGAAGAATACTTGCCATTTTTCTGCTTTCCTATGGTGTGCCATTAAAGAGATTCTGCCAGGCGACCTGCAGTGTGAGAAGACAGTGAAACACTTTGGAGAGTCAGCAGGGAGAAGAGTGCGTCAGGTCTGCTCTTCTATCTGAAGAGCAGGTAGAAGTCGTGCCAGCACGTGGAGAAACCGGCTTCCGGCAGCTCAGGAAGTGGCCAAGCCACCAGCCTGTACGAGCTGAGCCTGCACTGGGCGGTGGGTGGAGGCCAAATGGCTGCTTCTCAGTCAGTTAGCAGCGGAAGAAGACCTTCAGCCCAGGAAGCATTCTGGCCTGCACAGCTCGGATGGCAGACTTGGCCGTGGAGGGTGGGACTCTGCCAGGAGAGACTCCAGAGGCCCAGGAGACTGAGAGGGGACCTCAATGACAGCCGTGATTGGTGCTCCCGCAGCACAGCAGGCTGGCACATACAATTTAAGAAAATGAAGAGCTCATGTTTCCTCCACACCCGAGCTTGTGGAAGAAGGTGCACAAGGGCTCCTTAGGTTCTCTTCAGGACAGGGTGACAGGAACTGCAGTGTGGTGAGCCGGGGAACACTGTGAAGTGGGGCTCACGCCAGCTTCACACTGGGCACTGGCTGCAAACGTATAAATTGAGGGCATTATAACCTATAGTTACTTTCCCCGTGAATATGTCTGAGCCAGAACTTCCCCTGAAACGGTAAAGTTCGGATACCTTCCTTCCATCTGGAAAAGTGCTAGGAAAACACTCCAGGCGCTATTAAAACTGCCCGATTCCACCACAAAACCCCAGACCTAACGCTGCCCTCATTTGCTCAATGTGGTCCTCTTCAGTCTCTTTCGGCAGAGCAGGATCGTGTTTAAAATCTCGGCACAAGTCACCCTGTAGTCAGAGCCCTTGCTGCATCGCATCCCACTGGGGCTGAAAACGCAGGTCCTCGCAGGGCCCAGGTCGTTCTGCCCAGCTTTTCTGACCGCATTGCTCTGTGTGTCAAAGGCACCGGACGTATCTCCCTGTGGCCTGAGCCGGGCACTCTCTTCCGCACACAACCAGCTCTGCCACCCACTGTGACTCAGAGCAAACTGCTTAATCTTCCAGGCCTAATTTTCCCATCTCTGAAATGAGAAAATAACAACACTTACCCTCAAGCATCGCCGGGTGAGGAAGCAATGAGTGAAGTGTAAGAGCAGCATGTGTGACAGAGTGAACAGGACGGGTGCTTTCACCGGTACGATCTGGACTAAAAGCCCCGCGGCTGTCCTGGATAACCAGACCCCTCCTTCAGGAAACAAAGCTTGGACGAAGTGCTTACACCTTCTGCATTCTAAAATGTGAATACTTTGATTCCAGGTACTAAAAGCAATTCTTCATATAGAGTGTAACTGCTTACAGAGTTCCTCCTAAGCTACCGAGACACTGTTCAAATTCACACACACAGTAGACATGCCGCTGTTTGATACAGAGATCACTGCATTCCGAGGCCTCTAACCCTGAAATGCCTGAAGCGTAATCTCGGTCACTGAGAAACAGAGAATGTCTTCAGGTGAAGAAGTAAGCACATCTGGCATGGAACTAATCATCCCGAAGCGGGACCCAGCACAGGAGGGGTGAGGGACAGCTCTAGACACACACGGCTGGATGATCGGAGTTCATGGGTTAGCTCTGCCGCTTCACCGCTGCGCGTTGAGTAAGCAGTTACGTACCCGCCCTAAACCTTATCTCCCTCCGTTCTGAAGTCGGAGGTCACATTTACTAAGTCTGCTTCTCAGAGGTGAGAGGCAAATAGTGCTTACCTGGACCTGAGGAGGGATGCTTAGGGAAAGTTGGCCCATGGATTAACAGTGTTCTAAGAAAAAGTCACGGGAGGATAACTACAGGTAATAAGGTACTATATAATTCAGAACAAGTAAAAAAAGAAAAAAAAAAGGATTTTGAATGTTTTCCATTAAAGAAATGTCAAATGTATATGCTTGCCCTTATTGGAACACTACACAATGTACATGTGTTTTGGAAAAATAAATAAATCAATAGTCTATCCACTTTTTAAAATAATGTACTTTTCAGAGCTGTTGCAAAGATTAAATGAAATAATACATATTAAAATTCAGTTTTAATGTACGTTTAATGACTATGATAAATATGTTGGATATTTGCAATGTGCCATGCACTGTGATAAAGGCTTTAAATAACTCATCTTAGAATCAGAAGGATGATTATGTGGTGTCTACTTTGAGTATCCTCATTATCAAGAGAAAGTGAATCTTAAGAGATATCCAAATAACAATGCAATTTAAAGAACTATCAAAATAGCTACAATCACCAGTCTTTTCAAAATGTATGATTGGTCATGACTGTCACCACAAAATTATACCAGACACTGAAAAATTCCCTACATTCACTGCAATACATGTTATAAAATAACACCCACTTATTAGAAATAACGCTAAAACTTCCTAGACCCTACTTGAAAGTAACTGCACCAATAATAACATATTAACATGTCGTAATTCCTTTAGCCTCTATAAATGTGCTAAATGTCCTCCCCTTTTGTGAGAAAGTGGGAGAACTTGTTTTTAAATATTCCATTCACAGATAAACCATCAAGAATTAATCAGTAAGTCTCTCATAATTTTTAAATGTCTTTTATGGTAAATACACAAACACATAAACGCACCTGCTACCATGGCCAATATTATACACACACTATGGACCATAAGTCTTTGCATACGAAAGGAGAAGAGATTTATAAACAAAGAAACAAACATACCCTTTTCCGAGTCTTCTCCTTCAGGAAGGGCCGGATCACAGTGTACAGGGCATGGATGTACCATGGCTGGTTGACAAAATGAATCCCTCCAAATCGCGCTGGGAAGCTGTCCTAGGGCACAGGGGGACAGAAATCAAGGTCTGCTATAACACACTCGGGCTGCAGGAAAGACCCACCGTTCTCCATGTCGGTATCCTCTGCCTAAAATGAGATTATCATTTACAGGGAAGAAGAGAGAGCCTCACAGCACTGTAACTTTTCTACAAAAACTAACCCTCCACAGAAGCAGACTGCTGACAAGAATCTCTACACTTTCGAGAGTGCTGCATTTGAGGCTTTCGAAACGCTAACAGTCATTGCAGTCCCAGAAACATAAATAAAAAGATACTAGAGATTGATCAAATAACGACTGCATGTTGCATAAATGTTTTATTAAAATTATATTTATAAAATGTATTTAAATTAAAATGTTTTACTAAATTTACATGTAGTCGTAGCATGAAATCCCACTAGATATCAAAACTCACTTTATTCATTTTATCTTACTTATAAACTTTATTGTAAATATTTTCCTTTATTTCATCTATAAAAAAGAACTCACACTTAAGCAAAATGAAATCCCACGGTTCTGGTACAGGAGGCTGGAGGCTGCATTTCCTTGGCTAAGTGAACGTCAAACCCCTGTAGGCTGAACTCCCTGGTGGGAGTGGAGCTCAGCTGCGCCAGGCCCCTTCAGCAAGCAGCTGCCTGGTGTGAGCTTGGGTCTGAAGGGCGAAGGGGGCATCCCTAGCCTTTCCCACAGCCTGCAGGGAGTCCTTACGCCAAATGAATTCGGATTCTACTTGGGAACATCAATAGGAACAAATGAAAGATAAAGGTGAATGTGAGACAACTGGAGGTATGTTTCTTTTTAATTTAAATTTTCCCCTGAATCAAAATTCTCCGGTCGTAACACGCATGCCAGAGCCTACTGCCATCATGACCCATGACTGGTGACTGTCCACTTGCCTGGATTAGCACCTGCCTAGCAGAACAATAAAGTACACTTCCTGGTGTGCCTGGGGGGTGTTTCCAGGGATGACTGGCAGGTAGGCCAGCCAACTGAAAGAGGAAGAACAGCCCGACTGTGGGGCACCATCCAATAGGCTTGCAGCCCAGGAGAAAGGCGTGTGAGGGAGGAAGTTGGCTGGCACCTGACCATGTGTGTCTTTGCCGCTGCCTGCGGACCTCAGACTCCAGCTCCTTCAGCCTTTCAACACAGACCCTCTGCAGGGAGCTTCCAGGCTGCGGTCTCTGGCTGGAGCTGCATCCGTGAGCCCTCTTGTTCTGCGGCTTCCGGCCTCTCAGACTGAGCAGCGCTGGATTCTCCTCTTCTCCAGCACGCGGACAGCCGCTGTGGACGCTCCTGCGCAGATGCTGTGAGTCTATCTAGTAACCCCCTGCCATTTATTTACGCATATTTTTTTCCTGTTGATCCTGTTCCTCTAGAGAACCCGAACCAGTTCACCTATTAAAATACTGTTTTTTATGCTATTAGTGATTTTGCAAATTGATTTTCAGAGCTGATGAACATTTTTTTCAAAAGCAATTTTCATCTCTAAGGATCACACCATGAAGCAACAGCAATAAACTGAGTAAATTGGAATAGCTAACGGTAAAATCTGTCTCCTTTTATATCAGTCTCATTTTTATAAACATGTACTTTCATTCAAAAGATTATTATAAATTTTAAAATGAGTCATACAGAAATACAAATATAGAATTTTTTAAGTTCTAAAACTTTTATACTTAAAAAAGTTGGGTGCATATAAACAATAAAGGGAAGGCTAAAACAAACACTGAAGTGACCTCCATTTGGACTAAGAAATTGAACGTGCTTGCTAACTTTGAAGTTGACTACAGTTTACATATTATTTCACCTGCTGTCATATCTTAGGATCTAATATTATAATTCCTTTGCTTATATTGTATATTACGGATATTATAAACAAATATGTAAATATTTTATTTATGTGTTTATGTTGTATTTTATATACTTCACTTATATTTTATATTTTACTCTGCATATGTGTGCCTTTAACATATACTATCCATTTTTAAATAGTGCTTATTCGTCTGTTCTCCTAGAACGCTGTTTCTGAGGCTTACTGTATGGTGGATGGTATACACGATGTAGCTCTAGACCAGGTGTCACTGCTGAATGCTATACCATCATATGGTTCAGCATAATTCATTTTCTCTTAAATGCATGCTGTTATTCAGGTCCTTTTTGGTTTAGGTTTGGTTTTGGTTATGGTGTTTGGGGTTTTTTTTTTTGAGTTTTTGTTTTTGTTTTTTATCATTACCAGCGTGACTGATTTAATGATCACTCTTATGCATGAACCCAGGTAATTGCAAAGTATTTACCAAAAAGTGCTAATGTGGCACCAGACTCTACACATAAACCTGACACGGTAAGAGCACTTGTACAGATGCACACCCTCCTTCACAATAGTGCGTGACAGTTATCACTGACCCACTCACCACACCTGTTAGTCTACCTTTCTAATGCTTGCCCACATACAAGGAGCCCATCAAATAGATGCTTCTGTTTCAGTCATTTCCTAGTCTTGGTTTTTGCTCATTTGATAAATTTCATCAACAACAGCACTGTTTCACAACAAGTACTTTGAACACAAGTATTCTATTTCTGAGTCCTTGATTGTCTGAATTTACTGTTTGCTGTCTTTACTATTTTTTCATGCTATCTTGTTTATGGTAACTTCATGTTTTGCTAATATTAACTGTCAGGATCCCAAAGGAGCTGGCTTGAGGATGCTTTCCCCACACAAAGTCTGTTTCAGCTCCTACGAGGCAGGTGGCACTGGGGACTTGGTGTGGCCTTAATAGCCCCTTCATTACCCATGACCAGTATATACTCAAATCTCACATATTCAAATTGTTGAATAATAATTATATTATTGAAATATAATTATGAGAGGATTATAGTCTGAAACAACCAGGGGAGACGATTGTCATCATGAGTAATACTGATACTATTTTTTTCCAGCTGGTTAAAGGAATGGCCACACCCTTTCCGGTCAGCGGGTGCTTTCAGGCACTTCCCCCCACCACCTTCCCCGACGGGTGCAGCACCTGGAGGAGCACAGGCTGCCGTTCCAGGCCTCACTTTGTCCTTGACGTGTTCAAGCCCAGTCCTTGCTCTCAAATGTCCCACACCCCAAGTGCATACCAGCCTCGAAGCCCTAGGTCTACGGTTGCCCAGGCTTGTCCTGCTCGCTTGCTTTGTCCCCTCAGCCTGTGTGTGTCATCTCAGGGCACTCGCCTCATGACCCCGAGAGTTCAGCAATCCACCGGGAAGTATTTTCTGTCATGTATCCAACTACTCACAGCTTCACGGCAAGAAGAGCTTCAAGACTTTCAACTTGACCCACTGCTTACAGCAGAACTATGCTTCTAAAATACGCTTTTTCCTTTGTGATTGTATTAGTACATGTCTGTGGTACACAGTAAATACCTTCACCGTGGAGGAGTGGTGAACTTCGTATCCAGCCTCCATCCTTTCTTTCCCCTCCTGCTCCTGTCCCTCCCACCCCGCCCATCCCCAGACACTCCCGAATGAGCATTTGATCTCCTGGACAGAACTGAATGAACACACGCTGTCAGAGCTGCGAGCTGAGCGTCTTTGTGATGCTCAAACTCTGAGACTCCCAGGAGGCCATGCTGCTCCTCCCCTGAAACATGCACAGGCACCTTGAAGCTCTGCTGACCGTGAGGCTGGGCTTTCTTGGGTTTGCCTTTCTGTAACCGTGAGTGATCTGCACTGAAGCTCAGCTGAGGCACTGGGAAAGGGGCAAGAGCTGACTGTGCAATTATTAGATCAAGCTCAAGGCTCCGACTTAATCCACGGCCCAGACATCAGAGACTAAAACAAAACCATAATCCCTCATCCTTCTGCTGCTCATTCTGATCACTCTCGTTTCTAGCCATGCTCCTGACCTTGCAGTTACTTCCCATGAGGCCTCAGTGCTACAGTTTCACCTCCACGCCATGCCCAGCACCTCCATTCCACTCACTGCTCTGCATTCCTGCTGGAGCCCGTGAACTTTTGTCTCCCCTCCCCGACCTGGCTCTCTCCTGTAAGCCCCGACAGAACCCATAAGACTTAGCGCAGGCACCACCACTTCCACAAAGCTCTTTGGGTGCCTTCTTTCACTTCCTACCCTACTGCAATCCCACCAAGCCCACTCCCTGCCACCACCAGCACAGTGCCAAATCCATTGCTGCCCTGCTGCAGGACCCTGAGACACCTCTTTCTTTGTCCCCCTGCAGGACGGCACCGTGGGCTATGTGCAGAGACGTGTGCTCTCCGAGGTCTGTGGACACTGAGCCTGGCACCCACTTCCACTCCAGTCACGATCCCACCTAGAGGGCAGGGATGGGAGGTCCAAAGTGTGCATCGTGCAGCTGGGATTCTGAATAGGGGAACCTTGCAAGGACATCCGCCTGAGCAGGGCTGAAGGACCAAAAGGAGATGCTGTCACTTCTTGCCGCAGCAGTAGCTGCCAGGAAGCTTAGAGGGCCGCATGTGTGCAGCAGTCTGGACACGCTCTCTACTTGTGGGAGGCAGGGCCTCAGGGACAGCAGAAGCAAAGGTGGATGCAGCACTTCTCCTGCACAGTTGCGGGGTGGCACCCCCAAGCCAAGAGCTCCACAGCTCCCCTCCCACCCTAGCAAGTCCCTGGGCTACCTCTGCTTCCCATGTGAAGCGTCCAGAGGGATGTCTGCCTTGTGTACTGAACCGAGCCAGACTGTGTCTGATTCGCCTTCATTCTCCAGTACTGTGGAAGTGTGTGCGCACCCTAGAGCACAGCTGGGTGAACTCCACTGCACGGAATGGATCCTGATGTTTGCCATCTAGGTAAGTTATTCATCTTCTTGTGCCATGACTTCCTTATCTGTGGGAGCCACATGACAGGAACGCTGGTACTTGGGGTATGTGACATTATGGAACACACCTCCTCCACGCAGGGCTCCCTTCCTCCCCACCCACCCTGCTTCTCTACGTGGAAATGATCCCAGGGGTGATTCTACAACAGGGTTTAATGGGCAGTGATTTGGCTCTAAACACCACAGCCTAGAACAAAACAGCCACACCCAAGATGCTAACCATTGACTCCTGCCTGCAGCGCTCTTCAGGAGATGTGGAGACGTAGAAACCGCCCTGCAATTCATGAGAGCGCTGGAGGACCAGATGGAGTTAACAGAACTTCCGCCCCACAGGGTCCTCTGCTGCCTCACCCATCCACACTCCTGTTCTTCCTGGAGCAGAACGCTGTGTTCTCCACGAACACTGCCTTGCCCTGCCCAAATGACTCAGTGGCCACAGAGCTGGCTGGCCAAGGGCCCAGCAGAATTCAGCCTTATCTCCCAGCCTCTCCTGACAGTTCTCTCTGTCTCGAACAAATGTCTTCTCTGGGAGAAGGTGGACTCAGGAGCACCTCCAGCATACAACACAGGAGCTTCCACAACAGGGGAATGTGTGACTCACACACGTGGAAATACCACGGCGAATCCCATTCATTTGTCCACTTAGCATGTGCTGATAATTATGCTTAAATAATAGCAGACTGCTATTGCAAATAACTGTAAAATGAGAAAGAAAATCCTTTCTTTTCTCCTTGTTGGTACTAGGGACACCAAAAATGGGATGGATACATTCATCATTATTTACATTTATGTATGAATTATTCAATTATCATTACACAAAACTGTTTGCCTCAAATATCCAGCTATCAAAGAAGAAAAACTGAAAACTTCACTATTGGTATATTATTTACATTTATAAATTAATTTTGATGAAATATAAAAATTGTGCGTTAACATTGCGAGTAATACTGTCAGATTTGGGAAGAGAATAACAACATAATTTCTGGTGGAATCAGTGTACAGTTAACTGCCAAAATGAGGGCAAAATGAGCTGTTCTCTGAGGATTAAATCCACAGCTTTAGACTCGTTCCACAAGTGAGACTGCCCAGGCTCCTAATCCAATCAACCCTGTTCCATATCCTCAGTGTGAACACAGGCAGAAGTTACACTCGAAACTCACCCATTCAGAATTAATTCTATCAAGCTTTTTTTAAACTTGTTTTCTTTTTCTCTCTTTATGCACTATATGCATTATGGCAAAATACACAGTGATAAAGTGCAGCAACCATTACCTATAAATTATACCTTTAATTCCAGAACCCTACCCTTAAGCTGTACTAGGGTCTCAAATATTATAGTGTTTCTTTATAACTATTTTTGTATAAATATAAAATAATTTTATAGAAAGATGGACTACAAAAAGAAGAAGAAAATAGTCACCCAAATCCTTACCAACCAGAGACAAGAGGAAAACACTAAACTAGATGTATGCTCCCGATATTCTTCAGTTATGTTCCATGTAGACAACACGAAACTCTGCATAGCAGTCTGCACACCTGTGATCTTAATTACTTACAGCAGCTCAGAGGCATACGCCACACGCAGCGTCACTTTCCCTGAAAGCATGTCTTAGGGTAGTGAGGATTGCAGCAGCTGGCCCAGCGAGCTTCCTCAGTCTTCAGTGTGTTTCAACTTGTCAATATGAGTCTGCTTTGACTTGCCAACCACACGGTGTTTTCCTTAATAGATCTGTGGAGGATATCTTTTGTAGATAGTAGGCTAATATTTGTACATCCATCTTTTAGAATTTTGCACTAACTTATCACAATGCGTATATTCGTCTTGTAGAAGATTCAGATTCCTTAAGGAAATCGAACTTGTTGCCACTGGCATTTGGAACTGCAGAGTTGACTGTAGAAGCTGTGATTTCAGTCTCATCCTTAATGGACAGAGACATCCAGGCAATCCATTCACTTGCTTTCATGACAGAAACAAAGGTTTTCCACCAAAGCATTCCAACAAGTGTCTTCTGCCAAATCGAAGAGAGAGCCAGGAAACTGTAATTACCAGTCAATTGGAATGTCTCTTTCTGTGTCTGCCTTGTTAGTGGTAATGAGCTGAGCCTTATTTAAATGAATGCAAGTAACAGATGAAAAACAAAAAGCTGGCCCCTCCTATCACACAGAAATAAGAGTTTAAATAAAATTGTATACATGCAGGTGGACACTTCAGCTCCATTCTTTTAACTTCTAACTGCTCATTGAGATCTTTTGCTGTCCAGGTAGAAATACAATAAAGGAACTTAGATGGAAAAAATTGTGTACCAGTAAAATTTCACCAAGCAGTAAATGGATTGCTCTGAAAACATAATGAATACTACTTTCTTCAACCATGTTATTTAACACTTGGGAGTTCTTCATCAGAAAAAAAGAGAAAAAAATAGTTGAAATAAAAAGTGAATAATTATTTTTACAAGAAACAAGCCAGCTTCCAATGATATATGACATGTATTTCAAAATAAGCATTCAACAAGTCTATTTGATGAAGCAAACATTTAACAAAATATGTGAATGGCAGATTTATATTTTCATCATTGTGCAAAAAGCAGTGTCTTAATTTTAATAACTGTTTTAAGAAAGCATTATGGACTTAGCATGTTGGGTCATTTAAAAGAGTGACTAAAGACATAATTAATTTTCCATTAATAGGTGATTCTGTAGGTAAAATAGTTTTCATCTTTTTAAACTTTGGAATCTGAATATATTTTGAAATGATTCTGCCCTGCCAAAAGTGAAAATTCTAAATCCCAATATGCACGAAAATGTAGACAACATTTGAAATTCAATTTTTAAATCTGAAAGTGATTTTCTAGCTTCACGACTGCATACTTCACAGTATGTCTGTGCTGAGACTCAGCGAGATGCCAGCTATCATCTGGCCCAAATATATCAGCATTCATTTCTCCTCGAGATGGTCAACTCCGGTGCTCTGTGATGGCATACATGTCCCTTCAGACACTTCTATTAAAAATGGCCTTTCCCTCCTTTTACACACATTAATAGTTCGCTACAGACCTCGTGACACTATGGCTCCTAGAAGCTTTTCCTGGCGCTGTCCTTCCATGGAATTCAGCTCCCAGGCAGAGAGGCGTGCGCTCTGCTGTTTCAGTTCTCGGCGTCTGATTTTTAAGTCAATCAGAAGTAGTGCTCCAGTCTAATAATGCTACCTGGTAGTCTCCTCCGCAGCTTGCATAGAAGAAATCTTCACAGGACTTACTGGAGGGTCAGCTCCTCTCAGCGCACCGTACAGCAGTCCTGCCGCAGGAGCCCAGGGTTCTGAGGAAGCCGGAAGCCGACCTCTCGGCTGTGCACTGCGGGGCTGCAGGGCCCGCCGCTCCACTCGAAGGCAGAGGCACTGACTCCTCCACCGCTCGGAATTCACAATCAGGCACAGACAACGCGGACAAGAATGACTTTTCCTCCGCCACCTAACCGGACGGGGAGTAATCTTCTCCGCCCCTCAGGCCACAGCGGGGTCGGGGCTGCTCCAGCCCATGCCGCTTAAGGCCCAGAGGAGGGTGCTGCGGGGCTTCCGTTCCCCACCCAGGGCTGCACGGTGGGCCCCTGTCCGCGTGAAATGAGCGCTCAGACGTTCTTACATTAGGGTGATATTGTAATGCGGGCTGTCACCTCCAAACCTAAACTGTTTAAATCTAAGATCTGTTACCATAGTTTGTTTAAATCTGCAAAGAATAATCTTATTTTTCACCACTAATCATCGCTTGTCAATAACAGCTCTGTATTGATCTCACAGGGAAAAAAACCACCTTTTTTTCTTCGTTTTCTGCTACAGTTTGCAGAGATGTATTAAAATAATCTGCAAAGCTCTTCACTTCTAGGTTCCAGTGATAAAACTACTGTTTTCCAAAGTAAAACCAACAGCAACAACTACTTGACAACACAGTTATGCACCACGCAACACAGGAGCAGGAGCTTTCATTTGTGAGTGAAATGGGCGTGGCCTTCTCACCCTCCTGCTGCTTTCCTGTCAGAGGACTGGCAGGGCCCACAGCCTCACCCTGAGGACGTGACGCGGGGCTTATTCGAGTCAGTCACTGCCCACTGCCGGGGTGTGCCTGACACTACCGAGCAGAGGGCACCGGGACAGGCCGAGAAGCCACCCGCACAGGAGGGACCAACTCCAACCCACTGAACATCACGCAAGAACCCGAAGTAACGCGTTGCTACGGTAAGCGCTTTTGTTAAAGTTGAATTCCCAGCAAAGGGAACAAGTAAGTGCAATTTCCGGTTAAAACAGAATATGCAGTCATTGTCATGATCTACGTGGAGGCTCCCAGCGCCAATCTGCAGCTGACAACAGGAACAACTTATGTTGCTCCAGCGGATATCAGTAGTGCATCAGGTGACTTGTAAACGCCTTTCCGTAGCATGCATCCAGTAGTGCCGGCATTCCCAAACCCTAAACTGGCAGAGGGGAGTGAGCAACAGAGCTGTGGCTAGAGGAACTGGAAAGAGCAGAGGAAGAATCAGGCAAAAGCTTTTCAGTCGTGTGAAACTTGTCAAGATTGTCTCTAATGATGACGATGACATAAGGGTTGAAAAAATAGGAACTGTCTTATTCTGCTACGGGAACGTAAATTGGAGGAATATTTCTGAAAGAAACTTTAAAACCTACTTCTACGTCTCTTAATTCTAGACATCACTTATAAGGAAATGATTAATAGGTCCAAAGTTTTATGCGAGAATGTTTTCTTCAATGTTACATTTTGTAATTAGGAAAATACTGGAATCAATTTAAATTTACTTCAACAAAAGAGAATAAATGAATGATTTATTTATAATATGGGATATTGAAGAGTCATTAAAAAGGTATGTTCAAGGAACTAATACAAAAAAAAACCCTAAAATATAATATCAGGTTAATAAGCTGGGAAAAATTAATTTATTTTCTAAAAAGGAATATAAAAGATTTGTAAAATACGTCAAAAGAGTCACCTAACTCTGTAATAGAACAATACATGACTTTTAGTTTATTATTTGCATGTTATATTTTTCACGTATTCAAATGTTTTATATTTTTAAATGGCCATGCACTACATGTGCGTACACTTGCGTGTATGTATAGTATAACACCAATATATATCACATGGTTTTTTAAAAAATCACCACAAAGACAGCAATATCTAACCCTCTAAGCATTGAGTTAAGTTCATCAAATATTTACTGGAAGCTACTTAAAGGTGGGAAATGTCTGAGGAACACACTGAAGAGTCGTGACTTTAAAGAGTTTACACTCTACTAGAGAATAATACTGTAAATCAAGGAAAGATAGGTCCCACAAGGTATTGTAGGGTTAAAGGAGAGGAGGAACGAGGGGCTGAAGAGGAAAGATTCACAGAAGAGGCTGCAGTTGGAGTGGGTCTTAGGGAAGTCAATGGGAATCTGGCGAGCGAGCGTCTCAAGCAGGAGGAGCGATAAGAGGAGGACGGGAAAGACTGGGCCACCTCTGAGCGCAGCTCTTGGTCGGGGCTATGTCTGCAGTTAAACCTTAAATACGAGGAGGCCGTGGGCACGTGGTGAAGAAAAGAGTTTGGGGCCTGCTTGGACAGCCCGGGCTGCCGGCCAGAAGGCTTTGTGCCTGCTTGAGAAGGCAGTGGTATGTTGGAGCTGTGCTACGGGAACAGGAACCTAGCAGTGCTGTGGAGCTTGACGAAGAAACTTGGCATGTTAATATTCATATTTTAGTCCAGGCACCTTAATGTGTACATCTATAATCTCAAGTTAAACAAGATAACTACAGCTTCTTCTGTTTGGTTATTTTTAAATGACCAAGTGACCTGTTCAGTAGACACTCACCTGCCAAGAATGCCCCGCTCTTCCCACTGCCCTCTGCTGGGCAGCAGGGGTAAGACTGTGAGGGTAAAGGGTGCGCCAGCCACCAGGAGCGCGGGGCTGATGGGGATAAAAGTGGAGGGAGGCTCTCAGACGTCTGTAGTGCTTTCCTTGGGGTTAAAAGTAGTGATTTTATGTTTCGACCTGCCAACTCTGATGAGGACTTGCAAAATTTTCTACTTTACTAATTGCAATGAGAGATAAAATGACGACAGAGGTGCAAGGCCAAAGCCTTTTACCGTGGAGGTAGCTAAAGCCTGACTGTTAGAGATAGAAGGGCAGGGCATTAACCCTAACAGGAAATGGGAGGGAGACAGGGGCTGCACAACTTGCCAGCGATTGGATGTAAGGACACAAGAGAGAGCGACTGTCCGCCCGCGGCTTGCAGCATTTTAATGCTGCTTAGCCGAGAGACCACGAGTGGCACTGGGAGCTGAAACAGGAACAGGATCATATTTGGGGAACGTGGTGTGTCCTATTTCCAGTGGCAGCCAGCTGTACACACGCAGGTACCTGTAAGCTAGGGCACCTCGGGCTGGGGTGGAGATACAGGAAGGCAGAAATGCAGCAAGAACTTCAAAGATTCATGAACCCATAGCAGTCTGTACATTTTTAAATTCTAGTGCTATACATTTTTCTCCTGAATGTAACTTCTGACCAGTATCACAGAATTGGCTATGGAAGGAACCGGAGAGAAGCAGTTACTGATGATTTCCAGTCTCTGGCCAGCACACTCTGAGCTCCAGCACCTCCCTCAGAGCTGTGTGCTGTGCACATGGATCGTGAAGCTGTGGGCGATAAAGATAGCAAGAGAAGATCTAAAGGCGGCCCGGGCACACGGTCCTCAAGGAAGCCGGTGGACAACAGCGAGGCACAGGCTGAGCATCCCCTCTCCCCGATGCCAAGGCGGAGCACCCAGTCTGCCTCTGCACAGCCAAGCTGGGAAAGTCAAGGAGGCAGGGGAGGGACAGAAGAAGGAAGACGTGCCACACACGCACCAGCTCCCCACCATGCATATGATCACTACGTACAGCAAACCGATACCAATAAAAACAAGAATTTAAAACGATCTCCTGCAAAGCTACCTAATCTGGGAATATTTACTTTATTTGTTAGTTTGACAGCAAGAAGGAAATGAAAGTTCAACTTGGGATCATTACTCCCTTTCCAAAATCCAAACACTCTTGATGAATATACCCCTAACATCAAAAGAAAAGAACTTCTAATTCAATGCTTCAAAGATTTCACTGTGCTTTCTTGTATCTAGTACAAAATCTTATAGATTCTTGTCAATTTTGCTTAATTTAAGAAGATTCTAATTAAACCACCAGGAAATTCCCAAGGCCTAAATAGCACTTTTCTTCTTTATCTTTACACCCTTTGCCTTAATTGGTCAGTAATAATTGCCTAAAGCTATTCCCTAGAAAGTTTCTTCCACATAACTGTAGTTTTCCTCCAAATAAGGGTTGTCTTTTTTTTTCATGTGATACTCAGCAAGTTGTTTGGCGAGATCCACCGAAGTAGAGATGTCAGTGAGTGCTCACTGCCCATGGCGCAAATGTGCACTCGAGGTCCCCACTCACTCTTAAATCTTATGATGGAACTGGACAGCTCACAGGCGTCTTTGGCCCTCCAGTTCACGGAAAAAGCTATGCAAGCTTCTCCACTTGTCTAAGCATTCACCTCAGGGGACCACTCACATCCACATGGAGCGATTACCCCTCCATTGCCTCCATCATGATATATAAAGAAAAAACTATTTCCAGCAAGGTTACTACTGCATAATGGAAGCACTCCTTTTCTGAATAAATAAATGACGTTTGCAGTGGTGGCTGCACACAGCATGTGGATATGGGTCTGTGTGATTATTTCTCCTCACTGAGCCCGATCAATACACAACATATGTATATATGTCAGTGTTACGCAAATCCGATTAATTTGAGTGATGAATTTGCATTAATGATAAAAAATCCTTCCAGCTTAAACTCCTTTGGAATCCAGAGCAGAGATAAAAGGAGACTGTATTCATCGTTCTCCCATCCATTCTTGATGGCTAACTAAACACAACTGTGAAGCCAGGAACAAAGCCCAAGCAGCTGACATGGAGACAACATGTGTCGTGTTAAACATGGAAGTTTGTGTGACACACTTCGACTCCTATTTTGATCCGTGTATTTTTTATGAAATCAATGTCTATTCTTCAGAATAGAGTGTCTCAACTGTGTGTTACAATTTAGGTGATTTCTAGAGGTTTTGAGGACAAAATGCAGAGACATTTCTCCAGCACCTTTACCTGCAGCACCCACCCCACCCCAAACACGTAGCATGTCAATGGTTCAAATCTTGATTCTCCCTTTTCCCTAGCACTTTAACATTGATGCATTCATTCTGGAATAAAACGTTCCCCACGTTGAAAAAGTCATCAAAAACTTCCTTTATATGTAAAAGCTAACAAATAGGTAAACCTTATTTTGAAGAACTGTGCTTTTATCTCTCTTACACTGTATTTGCCATATACATTTGATCAGAAACAATGACAAGACATCATAAAACAAATGTTTTCTAAGTACAACCCTACAATATTCTTCAAAAGACATTTTTCTCATTCAGCAACTAGTTACTGTGCTTACTATATATTGGTGCAATGCTACCAGTGGGTGCAGACTCCATGGGACTCACCCTTTCCCCATTTGTCAGCTGCCTGCATTTATCTACCACCTCCCCGATTCTTCTTTTACTTCTGAGTCTTTGTAAACTCGCAGGAAGTTTCAGAAACTGCTCTGAGTGGCTCCCGCTGCCCTCACCCACCTTCCCGAGGGAACAGAACACTGACCACACTGTCTGCAGGGATATCTGTGTTTCATAAACTTCGCAAGCACTCACTTGTGGATGCCTAAGTTTGTTGTCTTGGCAGCCTTGTGTGAAACCACCGCCATACGAAAGATTCAGAAACGCTCGGTCCACGCCAGGCTCCCGCCCAGTGCCCTCCATGTCCGCCCAACCCTGTGACCCCGGCTCCTAAACTCTGAAGCCCGCTGACCTCCCCCTGCCTCAGTCTCACTGTTCTGTGCAGTGCAGGTGTGCAGATGCTGCAGTTCGCCACCTTGGGGACTGGTTTTTCTCATTTGCTGTAACACCCTTGATAGCTCTTAACATTGATCAGTATCAATAGTTTTGCTGTTTCTTTGGGTTTTGTTCTCCTTCTTTTTGCTGAGTAATATTCTGTAGTATAAATGTACAGCAATGTTCAATCATTCACCCATTTTGGGACACTTGTGCATTATTTCCAATGTGGTAACACCAGAGAGCCTCCTTCTTAGGATATTTGTGTAGAGTTTTGCGTGAACATGTGTTCTTTCTGTGTAGAAAATGGTCCAGAGTGCTAAGCTGTATGACTCGTGTTTGGTTGCAAGAGAAACTGCCACATGTTTTTCCAGAGGGACTGTGCTACTTCACATCCTTCGCAGCTGTGTCTACAAGTTCACTTCTCTAGATCTTTGCTAGCATTTCGTATTTTCACATTTTTAAACACTGTAGTTGTTCTGAGACATAGGTAGCAATACCTCACGGTAGTTTTCAATACATTTCCCTAATTTCAAATATGTTAAACATCTTTTCTTTCACGTGCAGAATTGTCATCTCAATGTCTGTTCATGTTTGAACCATTTTCTGATTGGATTTTCTTTTACTGTTGAAGTGTTTATGGGTTTTACATCTGACCTCCATAAAAATCTTTGCTTGGCCATGTAGCTTGAAAATATTTCCTCCCATTGTGTTTTTCATCTTCAGATTGATTATTAATTGAATTAATTGAATTAAGAAGTCTGTGTTGTTTTTCATTTATAAAATGCCCATAACTTTTTAGACACATCTGTCGTTGCTCGGTCTCGCATTTGTTCCTGAGGAAGTTGAAGTCATAAGGTTTAATTCCTACTTCATCGAGCTGTTATTAGTCAAAGCAGGCATGGAGTTGTCTGCTTATGCCACTTGGCTACGCTTTTGTATTCACTGGTAAGTGGGAAAACGGTCAAAATTTGAGTATTAGACTGCACTAAACATGACACTGAGAATCCACTCCACACTCTCCTACACAGGGCACTGTTTCAGCCACCACAACCAGCAGCCCCTCTCACACTGTTCTTGTTTAGTCAAAGGAGAAAGAGAACTGTATTTTGCTGAAGATATATTAATTTAAGGAATATTTTAAGTCCTGTTTTCCTAATGATTGCAGTTTACCATCTTGCAGGCCGTGTGTTTGCCATGTAACTCAAAGTTTTATACCCTGTGTTTGATCAGAAAGCCTTAGAACTGAGTATTTCCTGATTTAAACAGCAAACTGGGTGAATGTACTTGTCTCCCCTTCTCTCGAGACTTCTTTAAAAATAACAGGAAAGGAATATTTTTAGACTAAATGAAAATATCTACAGGAACATAAGTAGAGGAAAAGCATTATAAAATAACTTCAAAGCTTATTTATTTACTGTAGCACTGGGGATTGAACCCACAGCCTTCCCACTGAACCCCTGACATCCCTAGCATTTTTCTTTTTTTTAAGACAGGGTCTCACTAAATCACTTAAGTTTCTGAAGCTGGCCTCAAATTTGAAACTCTCCTGCCTCAACCTTCTGAGCTGCTGGGATTACAGATGACACCACCATGCCTGGCCTCAAAGTGCTTGTAGAATAGAAAAAAGGAGATAAAGACCTGGAGGATAAATCAGATGCAATATAGGCATAGAAAACAAGAAGGGAAAAGGAAGCATATCAAACAAGAGTGATAGCTATGAAGCCAGACTGGAACCCAATCAGAAAATGACTGGGCTAAAAGAATTGTTTTAAAAGAACAGAAATGATTTCCTAAATAATGTTACAAGAAAATAACTGTAAGACATTGGCAGTCATAGTGGGGAAATGTCTATTTCTATTTTTTTATAAATAGGTAAATATCTTAGTTGATATTGTTTTATCATGTCAAGAGTAAAAGAAGCAAAAATAAGAGCAAGATGCTATATAGTGAGGCTAATGGAACAAAAAAGCTGCACTATTAGTAGACATCAAATATATTCCTGAATGTTTTAGTAGACAAATTTGGAATTTTACTCCCTGACAATCTGCTGGAAATAGGCACGTACAAGATTTTCAGCTTCTTTTATTTCCCAGATTTACTGAGGTACAGTAATTGATAAATGAAAACTGTATCTCTGTAATATTACAGCACAGTGCTTTGAGATGCACTGTGACATAATTACCACACACAAGCTCACGAGCATGCTTGTGACTCTAGGCAAGTTCCAAGTTTACAGAATAGCATTATTAAGTATAGCTGCCATGCAGCACATTACGTGTCTAAAACTACTCATCCTGAACAATTAAAGCTCTGAGCCTTTTGCCCAGCTTCTCCCCATCAGCCCTTGTGTAGCAGATGAGTAGGAGTTATAAATGCCATTTGCTTTGACAAACAGAAATATCCTAACTAACACACCTAACACAACAGAAACCCACCCTTCCTGCATTTCCTCATGAACCTAATAAAAAATGTTCCAGAAAGTGTTAAGAGTGTCCTTGCAGGGCTGGGGATTTAGCTCAGTGGTTCTACTGCCTGCCTCACAAGTGCAAGGTCTTGAGTTCGATCCCCGGTACCAAAAAAAAAAAAAAAGTGCCCTGGCACAATTATTTTGACTCTGCCCTAAAGCAGGGCAAGTCAAGTAGCACTTACGGCCCTAGGATTTGCTCCGATCTGTTGGGATGAGCCAGTGCTGGTCTCAAATTCTACCACGAATTAGAAAGTATGTGCTGTCCCTTGGGTCTGCACAACCAGGCTCTGTCTGCTCCAGTATCACCTGGACGTCAAAGAGCACTGGGAGCTATGGAGAAACAGAGAGAAGTGGATCTGGGGAAAAGGCACCAAGGTGGCCTGACTTTTATGCTGTGCCAGCAGAGAGTGAGCAAGTCTCCAAGCAGGCCATCACAGAGGAGCCTCAACAACAGCGGACTTGTGCCAGCAGAAATCTTGACTTCACAATGACTCCTTCCTGCTTCTCACTGCTAAGAGAGCTGAGGACATTAAAACAGAACATTAGACAAAGTTCCTAGGTAACTGGGACGCCACAGGAGATGAAAATGACACATGACTTCATGGGTCCAGTGCCTTATCTGAATCTTATAATAGCTCCAAAGGCCCAGGAATGAGATCAAAGATGAGACACAGGTAGTGCTGAGCAAGAACTAAATTTGCACACTTTGATTAACAGCAGTTTAAAAGTCCATTTCAAAGCAACAGGGAAAAATGGTAGAAAAGAAGACCGTGGAATATTAAAGACAGCTCTTCCCTGTTTGCTGTGGGCACTGCACACCTTGCTGAGCTCTGTGTGGTTTGCTAACGTCCAGGGTGCAGAGTCCTGAGCCTTCCACCCAGAGAGGGCAGAGCTCTTCAGCTCGAGCAGCACTCTCCGCATAGGCTGATCCCTAAACCTGGCACACACGGCTTTTCACAGCACCTGCTTCGCTGGTCTGTGCTGATACGCAGGCTCCTTGCTACTCTGGGCCCCATCATCGGACAGGGCGTGTTAGAAATATGCTTTGGATACCCCACGAGTGGACCAGCAGTGCATTGCAGCCGTGACCACAGCTCCCCACTCAATCCCTCAGATGTGCCTATAAAATGCACTTGTCCTGTTGAGTCCAGACTTAGCCCTTCTACTACTCTGTGTGAACTAAATGTGGGAATCTTATTCCTACTTTCCTCCTTCGTGAATGCTAAAATACAACATAATAAACCCGCTTTCTATACCCAAACACGTGTCCATCATCTCTGTCCTACGACCACTTCCACCGTCCCTTAGGATATAATAATTCCAGCAATGTATTTTCTTTCATTATTTCCCCACACTTTTATTAGTGCATGTTGTTTATGTTCATGGACTTCATCTTGGCAACTTTGTCCACACAGGAAACATACTTCAATCACTCTCCCTGCATCATCCCCTTGCCCTGCCTCACCCCTCCAGTTTCACATGATTTGGGGGTTCAGCTCCTATGACATATTCTGTTAACCACCCTTACACCCCCTCCCTCCCCTTCTAAGGGTACCTCAGTTTAGTCCTCTCCTTGGGTAAAACCTAACAGCCTTTGGTCCATTTGGTAGGTTGTCTGCACTTTGCAAAGCATTTTTATTTTTAACTTAACATAGCAATTGGCTATTTAATGATACACTCTTCTAAAGCTAGGAAATATTGATCAAAACATATGTGGAGTAATTATTTTTCTACTTCAATGCTTTAGTCGGTTTGGGTGACCCTAACAAGAATACCACAGATGGGTGGCTCACACCACTGCTTCTCACACATCTGGAGGCTGAGCAGCCCAAGGGCAGGGCACCAGTGTGGCTGGACCCTTCCTGCCTTCCTCTCGGGGCTGGGCTGGGGGCATCACGTGTGACTCTCATAAGATCTGAACCTCATCAAAGCTTTGCCCATGGGATGCAATTACCTCTGAGCAGCCCGGCTTCTAAGTACCACCTCACCAGGGATTAGGGTTTAAAAGACAAATTTTAAGGAAGCATAAGGGTACAGTCCATCTCTTTGAGTATGAACTTAAAAAAGGTGAATTTTGAAAAAAGATAACTGGAATGAAACCGTACTTGGAAACTATGTCATGAGAGAAAGGGTTGAGGAAACAGGTCACACAGATTTGGAGAAGAGAATTATGCAAGTGAGAAATATTAGATAGCTTCAAATGTTCAGATAAATACACCCTACATGTCTTTGAAAAGCTGTTCCATGCAAGACAGTGCCTTAGGGAGGGTGTGCAAGCGCTGGTCCAGATCAGACGCTGAAAGGTCCACAGCCGGGTTTTAACCAGACTAAAGCAGACTTGTGCTGCCAAACTCAGAGACGAAAGGGGCTGTTTCGAAGTGGGCACTAGCACCAGACACGAAGGTTCCAGACAAGGCACACTATGCTTTTCTTTTCTTCCTTTTTTTAAACTGTACGTTTGCAGCACATAACCTTTTCATTTGCCATGGGGAGTCGGTGCGTGTACAGAGCACATCTTAATTCTTTTTTCATCCTCTTCCCCTCTTTCCCTCCCTCTGCTTCCCATCTCTTGGTCCTTGCCCCATTTGAGAAAGATCTCTCTCCCTACTTCCTATGTCCTATCTTTTATTTGTTCTTTATTTATATTTTGGGTTTCTCATAGAGAGAAACCATGTGATATTTAAGCCTGTGTGTCTGATTTATTTCACTGAACATCAGGGTCTCTGGGTGTGTCCATTTTCCTACAGATGACTCAACTTTATCTTTCTTTATGGCAGAGTGGTACTCCATTGTGTGTAAACCCCACATGATCTTTATCCATTCATCTGCTGATGGGCACACAGGCCACTTCCAAGATTTAGTGATTATGAATTGTGCTGCTGTAAACATGAGTATGCATGTGTCTCAGTACTGTGACGTCTTCAACTCTTTTGAGAAAATACCTAGAGGGGGAACAGCTGGGTCAAATGAGATATCTAGTTTTAGTTTTGGGGAGCAATCTCCATCCTGATTTGCACAGTGGCTGTGCTAATCTGACACAGCCTGTGCGTGTGTTGCATATGTACTAGAACTGATGCAGACTTGCAGTCAAGAATTCCACAGAGAATCACACAAAATAACAAGAAAGAGAGTTACTATTGGATAAGAAAGATTATGTTCAGAAGCTTTCTGGTACTTTAATAACTCAGTTTAGCACTCATGTGTACATAGTTTTAGTCAGGAAAGTTTGACAGGAAAAGTAAATGTGCAGTAAGTGTACCTAACAATTTAAGCATATGAGTGATTACGTCTAATTTACCAACATCCGAACAGATTTTAGAAGAAAAATGAATGTTTTTATTACAAAGTCATATAAAATGTTATGCCATTGATGGACTACACTGAAAATTCACAGAACATGAACATGATAAACACAATTTATCACTGGTCGCTAAGCAAATGCAAATATAAAGCTTTTTGAGCAAATCTTTTCTGAAAGAGATTTTCATCATTTATTTATTTCTCTTTAACAGCATGCTAAGTTGGGCCCTGCCATTGTCCTGTTAGAAGCTCTGATGAATCTCATGAGCAGGGCAGGGCCAGGCCTGACTGCGCACCAGGGCAGGGCACAGTGGAATGGGGACAAACTCGGGAAGGGTCAGAGAAAAGCTGTGACTCTGGAGGAGGGCTCGGTCGGCAGCGGGCTGCAGC